CAATACTGCAGGCATTTACACCAATGCCTGCAGTATTGAAGGCAAAAGGGGAGAACTCAGGGTTGGGTCCAGAAGCATCGACTGTATAGCTCTGACGGAAACCTGGCTGCATCAGGATACAAAGGTAGAAACGCTGGCACCGCCAGGATACACATCTACAGGGCAGATCGAAGTGAAGGGCGGATTGGCGGAGGATTAATGGTGCTGGTAGCCAACGGTCATAAGCAATTGACTGGAAAGCAGTTAGTGACGCCAAATATTCAAGGCACTTTATGTTGCATCAAAGCACCAGGAAGGAATAACCGGGTAGCATGTGTATGCAGAAGCCCAGCATCAAGGCAGGACGAAGATCGCCAGCTGCTGTCATTCCTAAAGACTGTAGCAGAAAAGAACGGAACTGTAGTAATTGTTGGAGACTTCAACGCCCCTGAGACAATGTGGGAGGAACTGATTGCTCCCTTAACACATTTGGGGACGATATAGTGAAGTTCCTATCAGACTTTGCTTTTGTTTAGCATGTCACAAGTCCAACAAGGTGATGGGTAGGGAATAACCCTGGGCTTCTGGAATTGGTGCTCACGAAACATTCCAGCGAGGTCGACTGCTTGAGAATCACAGCACCACTTGGCTCCGGCAATGGTTGTTGGGCGCGGTTGTATCCACCGTTCAGACTACATGCGTCCGCATTCCGGACCAGGTTGCGGATCACATCCCCCTGCTCACCTAAAAGGTGTTTTAAGGTTGGGTTTTTAGCGTGTAGTCAGTCCGACATCAAAGCGACCAACGCCTAAATAATTTAAATCAATCCATTGCCGATCAAAGCCCCTAAACCCAAATGAATGTGCTCTCAGAAGCAAGATGTTATGCAGCTGACAGAGAAACATGTATTTCAGAACTGTATAAACTTGCTGTATCCCTCTTTCCCATTCATTTGTATCCACCAGTCTCCATCTCCTCCAGTTCTTAGTCTCACAGACAAGTGATCTGTGTTTTCCTCCCAATAATTCCGCACGTCGAATCCTCTCGATACAAGGTTCACTCTTTCTTTATTTTCCATTTGACATGCTCACCCAACGTATTTCCTCCATCCTCCAAATCAACGTATGTGACCTTATCCACTTTATGTTTCATTCGCACTGCGTTTTCATTCCCGCCCCTTGCCGTCTCCATTGTGTATATCGTCTAATTGGACCTTCTATATATCTGCACCTTTGATGTACGTATGACTATTTTGAACACATGATCATGCTCTGTGCATGCTTCACGGGCTTCGTGAAATATACATTATTATTTTTATTAATATTATTACTTGGGCGGAGTGACCATGGAGTGTTGCGTTTCACCATCCCAGGTATGATAGATGTGTCCCCACCGAAGCTGACAAGGACTTATAATAAAATCGACAAACCGCGTATGCTCGAGGCGGCTGGAGGACTGGAATGAAACTTGCCGTACGGGAGCGTTGAGGAAGGTTGAAAGCTCCTCAAAGAGAAGCTCGGGCGGCTCTCTGAAGAACTTGCACCATATAGAGCTGTTAGAAAAAATGGAAGGCCTGCCTCGTGGACGAGCGGGGCCACCAAGACAGAAAATAAAAAAGCAAGCGTGGAGGCGATTTAAAAGAAAAAAGGAGCCAT